GGAAGCATGCCGTAGTTGTCATGATTCCGAAAAAGGCCAGAACCCGCTGTTTCCTAAGAATCATCGCCCAATTAGTCTGCTTAGCTCAAAGGCTAAGCTGGCTGAACGTGTTGTGCTACAAAGGCTAACTGAAGAAGTTGAAGACCGAAATGTTATGCCTGATGAACAATTCGGTTTCAGGAGGGCGCACTCCACCGAGCTGCAGGCCTTGAGACTGGTTGAAAACTCCATCTCAGAACTAAATAATAGGAAGACAGTCCATCTTGTCCTCCTGGACATTTCAGAAGCCTTCGATCAAGTGTGGCACGAAGGCTTATTACACAAAATGCGCGATTTCGACCTGCCTCGGGGCCTGATCCGGTGGATTAGGTCCTTTCTGAAGGGCAGATCATTTCAGGTCCGAGTTGAAGGATCCCTGTCTCCTGTCAGGGAAATCAAGCTGGAGTGCCTCAAGCAGCTGTGCTGTCTCCGCTACTGTACAGCCTTTACGTGAGCGACCTTCCGAGGTTCGATCACGTGAAGGTTTCCCTATCAGCGGACTATCTCGCTTCTTCCATGGGACGGGGGTTGGCGGTCGTCTACATGCAACGCGCATTGGATGACCTCGAACGCTGCTACCTGGAATGGAAGATTCGGGTGAACCCAGGAAAAACTCAGGCGATAGATTTGGGAAGGCGCAACGTTTCTCCAGATACAAGAGTCACGATTTCAGGCAGGGAGATCGAATGGCAAACGCGAGTCAAATACACAGGTCTTTGGGTAGACCGCCGACTCACCTGGTTAAATCACATTGACTACATCAAGGACAGAGTAAAAATGAGGATAGCCAAACTCTATCCTCTGATCAACCGAAAGTCTAAGCTCAGTCGTAGGAATAAGATTTTACTATATAACACGATGTTCAAGCCTGTCATTATGTATGCTTCAGGCGCTTGAGGACAAACCGCTCCGACAAACCTCTCCATTTTGTAGAGATTGCAAAACAAACTTCTCAGGATGCTGGTGAATGCTTCACGGCTCGTGCAGAATGAAGCCATCCGCAGAGATTTGAAGCTGTTAATTATACAGCAGTCCATTCAGTCGAGGAATCAGAGATTTTTCGAGTCAGCGGAAACTCATGATAACCCATTAGTTAGGGAAGCTGTAGATTACACTACAGATGACCCCACTCGATTCAGAAGGCTCGGTTGAGTGAAGGCCCCACGACGTCTGTTAAAATGAACAGTTTGTTCATCAAATACCCCAGTCAGAAAGGGGTACACAAGGCCAGAACGGCATAGATGTCATTGACCTTTATGCCGTCACCAAAACACTCTACGTTATGAACCAGTCGTCTTCCTGACGAGAGGACAGTTGAAAGGGTAAGGGAAAAGTTTCCAACCTGATAAAGATGAAGATGACTATCGGCGATTTTCAATTGTGGAATATCATTGACTCTATGTCGATGATGGTCACTATCTTTCACTGATGAGTGGCGAATAAGCCCGAAACCGGTCTGCAAGTGTGCCCGTTTTAGAATTGACGGTCGACTCTTTCAGTTGTATTGCCATTTACATATGCAAGAAATTTTCTGTGAAGATTCCTGCACTGATGTCTGTCGGATATAATCAATCGCCCTTCGTGGTATGAGCCAGGGGAGTGGTTGTTTTCTGATAGGCGTCAGTCCGTTAAACCTACTGTGTAGGTATATCGAGACTGTCTTGAACGTTTGAAGTTCATTTGCTTTAGATTTGTTTACTGCCAGTCTTCAAGCATAGCCCACTGACTAATAAGAAAGTAACAAATGAATGTTGAGGTGCTACCACTGTCTGTATTGAATTGATTTTCTGAGTTCATAAGAAACGTTGAAATTGATTTTGAGTCTTCATTTGCCGCGTTTCATTAGTTTCATAAAAATGAAAATAAAGGAGCAGTTCTTTCATTTGAACAGTGGCCCCTACTCAGTTTCAGTAAATACAAAACAAGAACAATGCGATATTGATTATCAAGATATAGTGAAATACATTTCCACTTCCAGACAAATGCATATCATTTGAAGTTCCATTCAAGTATTACGCGACAAATTGTGAAAAGAATTTTCTAGGCAGATGGAATTGAATGAAAACATTTACCTAAATTACAGGAGTTAGTGAGAATTCAATTACAATTCAATTACATTCAACAGTATTCCTTCCACGGTTTTGTAAATTGTCCAGTAAATGAAGTATCTGCCGATTCCATCATATACATTCAACATATAAAAGAACTAACTTTGAAAAGTGAACCCGTTTTTAATTACCTACAAGTGTGTGTGTATCTCTTCTAAGCTCCTGAGAAATCGTGAATTTTAGTGAATTCCACTAAGACCTTCAAATTGAATTTGGTACCAAAATAATTGTTAATTTCCAGTGTTTCTATCTTAATGCAAAATATTACAAACAATTACTAGCTGATAAGCAATTTCCAGATATAATCATTCTATCTGTCATCCTGGAAATATATAAAAAGTGTAAAACGGTTCATATCGTACAAAAAGCATTGACTCATAAAAACTGCTAGTGTTTTTCAACCTCAGGAAAGCAGTGGCGTACCCAAAATATTTTTCTATAACATGGAGTGTATTAAATGCAAACAGATGGATGTTGAACCCACGTTCAATTGCGATTCTTGCGAACATCCTGTCCACATGAGTTATGAGTGCTCAGGTCTAAATGCAAGTGAATTAAAAGTAATGGGGTTGAAAAAAAAACGTGTTCTCAAATTCATATGTGAGGATTTCGTAATGGGTATAAGAATTGTTCCCAAACTGTTCAAAAAAATTGATGACTTACAGAGCGAAGTTGAGAAGCTCAAGGTTTTGATTAAAAGGGAAACTAAAACATCCTTTCCAGAAGAAGATTATATAAGCGAACTACAGGAACGATAAAAAAAGAAAAAAAATGTTATGATCTTTAACATGCCTGAGTTGCCGAACAATCCTTCCCATGACCTTAATGAAGTAAAAAATATCTTTTCTAAAATAACACAAAAAAACTTGAACATTATCAATGCAGTGAGAATCGGCAAAAAGAACAAAATTGGCTTCCGTGCACTTAAGTCATTCTTAGTAACTCTGATGATGCTGATTCAATCATCAGAGCAACATTGATAGGTCAACATATATCAATCAATGCCGACTTGACTCGACTTCAAGTCAATTATTGGAAGAAATTGAAAGAAGAATTGGAAAGGAGAAAAACTGAGGGAGAAAATGTGATCATAAGATACTTCAATGGTGTTCCCCAAATTACTCAACAAATTGCAAAAAAGTAGTGCACAATCATATAAGTTACTATTATCAAAGTGTTGGTGGCTTAAGAACTAAACTACTAGAATTATAGCAGGCAGTTATGTCTTCTCATAACGTGGCTAACAAAAGACTATCAGAATTCTGAATTGGGGTTAAAAGGATATGACATTTTTCGACAAGACAGAGACTCAACCGGGTCATCGAAATCTAGAGGTGGTGGTGTTTTAATTGCAACTAGAAGCTCATTATCCGCAAATCATATTGAAGGAACTTTGAATAATATTGAACAAATTTTTGTCAGGATGTCATTGGGGAAAGAATACATAATTATTGGTGCTGTATATATACCTCCAGTTTCAGATATTGAAATATACAACAACCATGTTGATACTGTTGACAATGTTATGAGTTCTTTCCCGAATCACAAAATGATACTCTGTGGAGATTATAATATTCCAAATGCTATATGGTTTAATGATGAACTTGGATTGAATGTCGACTGTGAGATTAATTCCCCGGCAA